GAAGGAAAAGAGTTAACGCTGGATTTTGAAATCTATAGCAAGATCATTCCTTTACAGCATTATTACATAATGAGCTATTTACATCTTAGATACCAATGCTAAGAATATCTCTTTTCTTTCTCTTTTTTCACTTTGAGGTGTTTTATTATAATTCTCCTTCTCCCTAGTGCATCTACATACTAAATGGAGGAGCGTCTGTTGCCATTAAAATGACAGCTTTCACAGATAAAATAACTGATGCACAGATGAGTTAGTTATAACATCTACAAATTAACTGCTACTGCATTGGAGACATCTTATTATTTTGTATCCTAATTTTAAATATCACCATTTTTCCTGTGGAGGGGAAAATGTAACATATTGAAATAATATTTTTACATTTGCATTTGCAGTGCGTGCTGAGTACACCACGCTTTAACATAATTATTGAGGAGTGAGCCCTTGTACCACAGCTAAATATCATTACAGAGCACAGGGTCAGTCACACTGAACAACAGAATTAGAGGTAGCTATCAAACCAATCTATTCAGACAATGGATTTTGGACATTGTAGTTTGTAATTCAAATCTGCAAATGCTGCCAATTGCTTCTCATGTTCTTTAAATACACAGATAAAAACAATGTGTAGGAATCCGCTGTCCTCTACTGTCAGCTGCTGGTACCACACTGTAATTTATAATTATGTGTGTCACTTCCTGCCTCTGCGGTTGTTGGGAAAAGATCCTGGAAGGTGGAAGTGGAGAGAGAAAAGGTCTCAGCCACATGTTCTGTCCATGCTACTAATACTAGATCAGAAGAGTTGATTAATGTCAGATAATTAGGACTGCATTCCAGGTTGGTTGGGTAATGGTTGGAGGGTCTCCTTATCACCGCAGATCTTGTCTTTGGGTCTCCGATACAAAGACAAACGCTGCATCCCCCTCAATGGGGATTTGCTGCAACATTCATCTAGAGGTTTCACTTTTAATAACTATATGCAGTTAGGTCCATATATATTTGGACACAGGCACAATTTTAGTTTTTTTCCCAGGTATTTACCAAAATATATTCAAGCTATAGTTATATAATGGATATGGGCTGAAAGTGCACACTCTCATGTTTAATTTGAGGGTATGTACATCCAAATTGGAGGAAGGGTTTTGGAATTACGGCTATTAAGAGTAGCCACCCCCCTTTTTCAAAGGACCAAAAGTAATTGGGCAATTGAATCAAAAGCTGTTTCATGGCCAGGTGTGGGCTATTCCTTTGTTATTTCTTCATCAGTTAAGCAGGTAAAAGGTCTGGAGTTGATTCTAAGTGTGGTATTTACATTTGGAATCTATTGCTGTGAACCTACATCATGTGTTCAAAGGAGCTGTCCACGCAAGTGTAACAGGCCGTTGTAAGGCTTCAAAAATGAAACAAATCCATCAGAGTGATAGCAGCAACATTGGGAGTGGCCAAATCAACTATTTGTTACATTCTAAGGAAAGAAGAACGCACTGGTGAGCTCAGCAACATAAAAAGGCATGGACGTTCATGGAATACAACAGTGGTGGATGATCGCAGGATCCTCTCTATGGTAAAGAAAAACCCATTCACAACATCCAGACAAGTGAAGTCTACAATCAAGAGAATACTTCACAAGAGCAAATACAGAGGGTTCACCACAAGGTGCAAAAAAAGTTGCAGACTTTGCAAAAAGAATCTACAAAAGCCAAACCAGTTCTGGAAAAGCATTCTTTGGACGGATGAAACTAAGATTAATCTGTACCAGAATGATGGGAAGAAAAGTGTGCAGAAGGCTTGGAACAGCTCATGATCCAAAGCACACAACATCATCTGTAAAACATGGTGAAGGCAATGTGATAGCATGGACATGCATGGCTTCCAGTGGCACTGGGTCAGTGGTGTTTATTGATGATGTGACAGAAGACAGAAGCAGCTGGATGAATTCTGCAGTGTTTAGAGATATATTGTCAGCCCAGATTCAGCCAAATGCAACAAAGTTGATTGGACGGTGCTTCACAGTACAGATGGGCAATGATCCAAAACTGAAAAAGCAACCCAGGAACTTTTGAAGGAAAAGAAGTGGAATATTCTACAATGGCCGAGTCAATCACCTGATCTCAACCCAATTGAGCATGCATTTCCCTTGCTAAAGGCAAAACTAAAGGCAGAAAGACCCACAAACAAAGAACAACTGAAGACAGCTGCAGTTAGAGCCTGGCAAAGCATCAGAAAGGAGGAAACTTAGTCTTTGGTAAAGTCCATGGGTTCCAGACATCAGGCAGTCATTGCCAGTAAAGGATTCTGAACAAAATTTTTAAAATTAACATTTTATTTATGATTATATTAATTTGTCCAATTAAATTTGAGCCCCTGAAAATGGAGGAACTGTGTATAAAAATGATTGCAGTTCCTAAAATTTGTACTTGATATTTATGTTCAACCCCTTGAATTAAAGCTGAAAGTCCGCACTTCAAATTCATTTGGTTTGTTTCATTTTAGTTAATTCTGGTGGCATACAGAGCCAAAGTGTGAAAACTGTGCCTGTGTCCAAATATGTATGGACTTAACTGTATACCTGGATATGTGCACAATTCCACTAGGACTCCTACTGGTCCCTTTGCTGAAAATACCTGGTTGTACATTGAAAGTATGTACTGTTATTCATTTTTTCTTTTATTTTCTATATTGGTGTGCATCTGTCAGGGCTCCCAGGTATGACCAGAGGTGTGTGACTGATGCAGGGAAACGCAGACTTCAGATATGTGATAAACAATACAATTTATTAACACTAACCATACAAACATAAACGCAGTGCAATACTAAACATAATACAGTGCAAACAAACCAAACCAACCACCCACAGATAACAGTACATACAATGCAAGCGTCGTCAGGCAGGCCGGGTCAATATCAATTGGGCAGGTAGGTACAGGGGGAGCAAGCAGAGAATGGTCGGGGTCACAGGCCAGGTTCAGCAGGTAGCAAGCAGCGTAGTACAGAGGGTCAAGCAGAGGGATGGTCAGGGTCACAAGCCAGAGATCAAAACAGGTAACAAGCAGCGTAGTACAGAGGGTCAGGCAGAGGGACAGAAACAGGATGCAGGACAGATACAGGGCCCAGGACAAACACACAACACCAAGGCAGAGTCTGTGGGTCTGGCCATCCCTTAAATACCCCAGCATCATCAGTTCCAGGTGTTAGCTGGCTGAAAGGTTGAGTCTCTGATTGCTGGGAGCACCCGCTGGCCAGCACTGGTACTGCAGATCAAAAGGCAGGTGAGTCCCACCATTGCTGGCCAGTCCATTCCTGACAGTACCCCCCCCCCCCAAGGAGCGGCCTCAGGACGCTCCAAACAGTCCTAGCTGGGCAAAATGTTCCACCGCCCGGGTCTGGTAACTGGCGGGATATCAAAGACTGGCACACCGGGCAGGACTCCGGGCAGCGGCACACCGGGCTGGACTCCGGGCAGAGGCACACCGGGCTGGACTCCGGGCAGAGGCACACCGGGCTGGACTCCGGGCAGAGGCACACCGGGCTGGACTCCGGGCAGAGGCACACCGGGCTGGACTCCGGGCAGAGGCACATCGGGCTGGACTCCGGGCAGGCACATCGAGCAGAGGCACACCGGGCAGAGGCACACCGGGCAGAGGCACACCGGGCAGAGGCACATCGGGCAGAGGCACATCGGGCAGGACTCCGGGCAGAGGCACATCGGGCAGGACTCCGGGCAGAGGCACATCGGGCAGAGGCACATCGGGGCAGGACTCCGGGCAGAGGCACATCGGGCAGGACTCCGGGCAGAGGCACAGGCACACCGGGCAGAGGCACATCGGGCAGGACTCCGGGCAGAGGCACATCGGGCAGGACTCCGGGCAGAGGCACATCGGATTACCAGGGCGAAGCAGCAGGCAGCGGGCCACCAGGCGGAGGAGCAGCAGGCACCGGGCCCCCGGGCGGAACAGCAGCAGGCACGGGCCCCCGGGCGGAGCAGCAGGCACCGGGCCCCCGGGCGGAGCAGCAGGCACCGGGCCCCCGGGCGGGGCAGCAGGCACCGGGCCCCCGGCGGGGCAGCAGGCACCGGGCCCCCGGGCGGGGCAGCAGGCACCGGGCCCCCGGGCGGAGCAGCAGGCACCGGGCCCCCGGGCGGAGCGACAGGCATCGTGCCCCCAGGCGGGGTGACAGGCATCGTGCCCCCAGGCGGGCGACAGGCATCGTATCCCCAGGCGGGGCGACAGGCATCGTGCCCCCAGGCGGGGCGACAGGCATCGTGCCCCCAGGCGGAGCGGCGGGCGCCGGACCCCCAGGCGAGCGACAGGTCTCGGGCCCCCTCAGGCGGAGCGGGGGCGCCGGACCCCCAGATGGACCGACAGGTCTCGGGCCCTCAGGCGGAGCGGCGGGCGCCGGACCCCCAGGCGGAGTGACAGGTCTCGGGCCCTCAGGCGGAGCGGCGGGCGCCGGACCCCCAGGAGGAGCGACGACAGGTCTCGGGCTCTCAGGCGGAGCGGCGGGCGCCGGACCCCCAGGTGGAGCGACAGGTCTCGGGCCCTCAGGCGGAGCGGCGGGCGCCGGACCCCCAGGTGGAGCGACAGGTCTCGGGCCCTCAGGCGGAGCGGCGGGCGCCGGACCCCCAGGCGGAGCGACAGGTCTCGGGCCCTCAGGCGGAGCGGCGGGCGCCGGACCCCCAGAGAGCGACAGGTCTCGGGCCCTCAAGCGGAGCGGCGGGCGCCGGACCCCCAGGCGGAGCGACAGGTCTCGGACCCTCAGGCGGAGTGGCGGGCGCCGGACCCCCAGGCGGACGACAGGTCTCGGGCCCTTAGGCGGAACGACAGGTCTCAGGCCCCCAGGCGGGGCGGCGGGCACCGAGTCACCAGGCACAACCGTGGGCTCCGAGTCAACTGGGATGACCGCTGGCACTGGGTCAGACATTGGATCGTCTGGCTGGACAGCGGGCATCGGGTCACCAGGCATCAGGTCATTTGGCTCGACAGCGGGCACCGCGTCATCTGGCAAGGCAGTGGGCTCCGAGTCAACTGGTATGACCGCGGGCACTGGGTCAGACATTGGATCGTCTGACTGGACAGCGGGCACTGGGTCACCAGGCATCAGGTCATTTGGCTCGACAGCGGGCACCGCGTCATCTGGCAAGGCAGTGGGCTCCGAGTCAACTGGTATGACCGCGGGCACTGGGTCAGACATTGGATCGTCTGACTGGACAGCGGGCATCGGGTCACCAGGCATCAGGTCATTTGGCTCGACAACGGGCACCGCGTCATCTGGCAAGGCAGTGGGCTCCGAGTCAACAGGCACGACAGTGAGCACCGGGTCATCAGGTACCGGATTGTCTGGCTCGACAGGGGGCATCGGGTCACCAGGTATGACAGCGGGCACTGGGTCACCAGGCATCAGGTCATTTGGCTCGACAGCGGGCACCGGATCAGGTACCGGATCATCTGGATCAACAGCGGGCATCGAGTCAACTGGCCTAATAGGATCGTCAGGCTGGATCAGTTCATCATGCTGGGTAGAGGCATCAGGCTGAATGCCGGCGTCCGGCTGAGTAGAGGCTTCAGGCTGAGTAGAGGCATCAGGCCGAGTAGAGGCATCAGGCCGAGTAGAGGCTTCAGGCCGAGTAGAGGCATCAGGCCGAGTAGAGGCTTCAGGCCGAGTAGAGGCATCAGGCCGAGTAGAGGCATCAGGCCGAGTAGAGGCATCAGGCCGAGTAGAGGCTTCAGGGCGAGTAGAGGCATCAGGCCGAGTAGAGGCTTCAGGCCGAGTAGAGGCATCAGGCCGAGTAGAGGCATCAGGCCGAGTAGAGGCTTCAGGCCGAGTAGAGGCATCAGGCCGAGTAGAGGCTTCAGGCCGAGTAGAGGCTTCAGGCCGAGTAGAGGCATCAGGCCGAGTAGAGGCTTCAGGCCGAGTAGAGGCATCAGGCTGAAGAGAGGCATCAGGCTGCGTACCGGCATCAGGCTGAAGAGAGGCATCAGGCTGAGTAGAGGCATCAGGCTGAGTAGAGGCTTCAGGGCATCAGGCTGAGTAGAGGGCATCAGGCTGAGTAGAGGCTTCCGGCTGAGTCACGGAAGGCAGGCTCACCGTTTTGGATACTGGCAGGATGGTATTGGTTGGAAAGAATTTTCGCTTTTTTCTGGTTTCAACTACTGGAGCACTGCAAGTAAACGCAGGTCTGCAAACGAATGGAGCAGCTGGAGACAGAGAAGAACTGGAGGATGGAACAGGGGAGGGAGCAGTTGCTACAGAGGGCTCTTTTACAGGGTTAAAGGCAGGATAGGTGCAGCGAGTGGGAACAGGGTACTGACATGCGGTAGATAGCAGGGCAGGAGGAGCTGTTGGGAATGCAGGAATAGAGTTTTGAGGAAATAGATTAGAAGCAGGACTGGGGTCTTTGTAAGCTGGCTGAGGCTGGGTGCAACAAATCTGTCCATGTCTGCAGTATGGGTTGAACAAAGCTGAGCTTACACAAAGCCTGTCTGGTCAATGACTGTACTGCGTTTATACAATCTCTTAGTGTCTGTGGTGAACATGTGGAATAACGCTCCAGAAAGTAACCCACATCATCCTCTAATAACCACACCAGGGACTCTACCTGGTCTGCACTAAATGGTGGCAAAAATTCATCCCTGCATTCGGGGGTACCAGATGAAACCAACTCAGCACAAACCTCAATCAAAAGGCTGCACCTCAGAGAACTCTGTGCCCTGATCTACTAGAACATGAGCGAGCCGTAAACATTCTAGCAGTTCATCCCGGGGATACTCCCTTCAGAGTTTGATAAGCATACTCCCTGTCATCAAACACTAGCAGATATAAATACGCAACCTCATCCAGATCCATCCTTCCCATCAACAAACCAAGATGGCTTCCCTGTGCAGCCACTTCTGGTCAGGATTGGCCTTGGTGTAATATCAGGGCTCCCGGGTATGACCAGAGGTGTGTGACTGACGCAGGGAAACGCAGACTTCAGATATGTTATAAACAATGTAATTTATTAACACTAACCATACAAACATAAACGCAGTGCAATACTAAAACATAACACAGTGCAAACAAACCAACCAACCACCCACAGATAACAGTACATACAATGCAAGCGTCGTCAGGCAGGCCGGGTCAATATCAGTCGGGCAGGTAGGTACAGGGGGAGCAAGCGGAGAATGGTCGGGGGTCACAGGCCAGGTTCAGCAGGTAGCGCGGGCAGCGTGGTACAGAGGGTCAGGCAGAGGAGAATGGTCAGACAAGCCAGGGATCAGAGCAGGGTCAGCAGAGAATCAGACAGGAACAGAGAGAGCAGGAACAGGATACAGGGCCCAAGAGAAACACAACACCAAGGCAGAGTCTGTGGGTCTGGCCATCCCTTAAATACCCCAGCATCATCAGTTCCAGGTGTTAGCTGGCTGAAAGGTTGAGTCTCTGATTGCTGGGAGCACCCGCTGGCCAGCACTGGTACTGCAGATCAAAAGGCAGGTGAGTCCCACCATTGCTGGCCAGTCCATTCCTGACAGCATCTATATGCTTGTGGTTAATGTTTTTATGCTGGTTGCAGTAATTCTTATTGTCAGGAATGGACTGGCCAGCAATAGTGGGACTCAGCTGCCTTATGAGCTGCAGTACCAGGGTTGGCCAGCGGGTGCTCCCAGCAATCAGAGACTCAACCTTGCAGCCAGTCAAACACCTGGAACTAATTATACTGGTGTATTTAAGGGACATTCAGACCTGCAGACTCTGCCTTGGTGTTGTGTTTCTCTTGGGCCCTGTATCCTGTTCCTGCTCTCTGTTCCTGTCTGATTCTCTGCTGACCCTGCTCTGATCCCTGGCTTGTCTGACCATTCTCCTCTGCCTGACCCTCTGTACCACGCTGCCCGCTACCTGCTGAACCTGGCCTGTGACCCCGACCATTCTCTGCTTGCTCCCCCTGTACCTACCTGCCCGACTGATATTGACCCGGCCGCCTGACGACGCTTGCATTGTATGTACTGTTATCTGTGGGTGGTTGGTTGGTTTGTTTGCACTGTGTTATGTTTTAGTATTGCACTGCGTTTATGTTTGTATGGTTAGTGTTAATAAATTACATTGTTTATAACATATCTGAAGTCTGCGTTTCCCTGCGTCAGTCACACACCTCTGGTCATACCCGGGAGCCCTGATATTACACCAAGGCCAATCCTGACCAGAAGTGGCTGCACAGGGAAGCCATCTTGGTTTGTTGATGGGGAAGGATGGATCTGGATGAGGTTGCGTATTTATATCTGCTAGTGTTTGATGACAGGGAGTATGCTTATCAAACTCTGAAGGAGTATCCCCGGGATGAAACTGCTAGAATGTTTACGGCTCGCTCATGTTCTAGTAGATCAGGGCACAGAGTTTTATCTGAGGTGCAGCCATGTGATTGAGGTTTGTGCTGAGTTGGTTT